GTAACATGCTATTTAATTATTATTATTTTGAATGATTCTTCCAGCTTTCAAAGGAATATGGCTCTGTATTTACTCTTTACTTTGGAACCAACAAAGTCGTGGTCCTGGCTGGATATGAGACAGTCAGAGAGGCACTGGTCAACTATGCAGAGGAGTTTGGAGAGCGCAACATCTCCCCGATACTTAATGATATAAACCGAGGTCATGGTAAGATTCTTTATATTGTGGTTTATTAAGTTTAATTTCATGTTCATAAATCTGTGTTAGCCCAGGGTTTTGTTATTTGTGATCACTAGAGATATAAGAAAACATGATCGAAACAGGCTACACAATTAACAGCATGTTTCCTCATGTTTTGCAACAGCTGACCAATATCTTGAAGTCCAGGTTTCTTTTCAATCAGAAAAATAATATTTCAAAATAATATTTTAAAGGTTTAGTGGTGCATATTCCTTTGTTCTCGATGTCTGCCATGAGAGTAAGTTCTGCTGTTTGTGACAACATTGTGTTGTACTTTGAGTTCAGTTGATAGTTGGCTTTATAATAACATTTCACCAATGACACAGATGGAAACGCCAGATCAAAAGTGATAAAATGACTCTGAAATAAAAAATTAAAGACCCGTAGAATTATGGTTGAAAACCTTAAAAACAGATGATTTTCTTTTTGAAGAAATGCTGATTTTATTTTATTTTTTTGCTCTGATCTTTGCTGTTTTGCTTGGTTAAGATCAGATTGAGCAACAGCCCCCTTCACTCTCACTGACCTGACAGATCGCTCAACAGCAAATCCCTTTATCAATGTTTTACTTTGTGGATTTTACATTTAACACACATTAGCATGTTATATTACCAGCTAAAGTCACTTTCCCTTGCTTATCCAACTCAGAATCAGTGGTTGGTTGAGGAGGTTTGAAGCGTTATATATTTATTTTGTAATTATCTTTTTTTCTTGCTTTGTAAAAGTCGTCACTCTGCTGCCTTCAGACTTATCCATGTTTGAAATAATCAGCACATGATTGGGAAATCCTGGACTGACATATCGAGTGATAACGACAGCAGTCATCTGACCTCTTACCCGATTGGTGATGTGAAAGAGAATTAACACAGGAAAAAACAAACAAACTTTGAAATGATAAATATGATAAAGTAGGACCTCAGCTGTGGAGCCCGAGAAGTACACGCTGAAATACAAAATTACATGAAACACATACTGTCAGTTCTTTATTTGAGTTAAGGCATGAATGCAAAATTGAGAACTCTGTCACAGAGACTACTGCTGAAACAGACAAAGGTCTGCGCTACAAGCCTGATTGTTCATTTGTGCCTCTGCTGAACTGATGAATGTCAGGCTCTGGCTGCTAGGCTGGAGCAGACATGCATTATACCTTATGTTTTGTAGGAATTTTGTTTGCAAATGGAGAATCGTGGAAAGAGCTGAGACG